GCAGCCCTCCCCTCTCCCCTCCTTTTCCGTGGAGTCAGAGGCTCGCTCTTGGTGCCCTGGCCGGCTGTGGTGGCATGCTGGTGGCCGCCCCAGCCTGCACCTGCTGGGCTCGGGGAGCCCTCCGCTCGGCCGCCCAAGTAGCCAGACCTGCAGGCGCAGGCTCCCAGCCCCAGCTCGCTTTTGACTTGTGGTGGAGACCAGGTCTTGCCACGTGGCTCGGGCTGGTCTTGAACCCCCCGGGCTCAGGCAGTCCTCTTGCCTCGGCCTCCCAGAGTGCTGGGATTCCAGGCTTCAGCCGCCACGCCCGGCCAAACATGCACTTTTCAATAAAATTTGGAATAAAGAATTAGTGTTTTAGGTGAAATATTGTCGGATAGCCATAGCACTCACACCTAGTGTTATCCCAGAAATTGTATCGCATTTGGTCCTTTGAGGATAAGCACTTTTGTGTGCTCTTTCCCTATTAAAGGGCTTCCTAGTAACTACTCTTGAACCTATCCAGTATAGGACGTGTTGAGCATGATGTTATTTCCCAAATCTGATTTTCTGTTTTATGAATAATGGCACTACTGCCAAACATTTCCAGTGTGTTCTGATGGAGAAGATTGACTATTTCTTTACAGTCTTACATAGGAGCATATCAATCAGGTTTACTAGGTAGTTATTAGACACATTCAACATGACACTGAATTGGTAAGAATATAAAACACTGAAAATTGTAATTCACTTGAAGATTTGTGTTTGTTATATTCTGTATAATGTCTTATTATTATGTTACATTACACTGTGAAAACATCCCTCTTCGGTTCACTTTTATTGTTAAAATGCAAGTTTTAGAGTAGTTTATCTGTGATGCCTTTCTTCTATAGTTCTAATAAGGAGTCAGAAATCTTAAGAAAATTTAGGTTGAATTTTGAATTCCAGCCAAATCATCATGTCAGGCCAGAAAGCTTAGGTAGGTAAATAAATCTCCATGTATCATTCAATCAAAGAAGGTTTTGATTCAGTCTAATGAAATTGCAGATGAATTTCAGTGTTCAAAAAGATGCCTATTCAGAGAGCCCTATATTGACTTTGTGCTGTGAGATTATTTTTGTGGTATATAAAATAAGTTTTCCCTGGAAAGAATTGTACTTGTTACACAGTTCGATTCATTGGTATCCAACATCTGAGTTAATGTAATATTTGTTCAGAGTTTAGCAGACAAATGAGATGTAAAAGCAACAAATTTGAATATTTGTTACTGAGAAAACTGCTTTTTATTTACAAAGTTTTATCTCAACCCATGGTGATAGCTGTCTTCTCTTATTCCATCCAAAGATGATGTGAGGCAAAAAAGACTTCATAGTGGGTTGCATGTTATTTAGGTGGTCGGTGTATGGAAATGTCGAGAGACGAGACTAAATACACATCTGAAAAAATGATAATCCTCAGTTATGTGTTTATTGGTTTTGTGATCTAACATAGCTTACAAAGTCTTATAGTAGACCTTTGGACTCACGTCATATTCTCTGCTTGGAATGCTATACTCTGAGAGCACTGAGTTTAGCTATGTTTCAAATGATCGAAAACAGAAATGATATTATGAACTTAACTTGCAGCTGTTAACCTTAAGAAAAATGTAAAACAGAATTAAGTGTAGATTGGTTGCTAGTGCATTCCCAACATATAAAAAATTAATTATTGAAATAGAAACTATTTGGAACATAGTATTAAGTAGCTACTTTAGATTTGACATGTTTTATCCAGATTAAAAAAACTTTTCTTGGTTAAAAATGTTTTATTTTGTTTTTATTTTTCTTTGGCGTCAGCCACTCTGTAACTAATATGAATTAATTTAAAAGCAGCCGAGGAAAGAAGATCAAAAATATTTGGAGGCAGAATCCCTGGTTACTTTAGTTAGACTGACATTTTCATTTGCATATTAACCTGCCGGAGGCCAGCTCTGGGGGGTTCACGGGACCCGAGAAGGAGGCGTGACGAAGCGAGGGAAGGAAGAGTTGTGACCAGAGTTTCTTTTCAGGCACTCTGGCACTGAAGCACACCAGTGCTGATTTATTTATATCATAATTTTTGGCACACACTTAGCAGAAAGTTAACAGTAAAGGAAAAAATTAACAATCAAAACATATCAAAATGATTGTATGACGTACTAATGATTTTACAATTCTGATAATTATACAGTTTAATAATGTCTGCATATAAGAAACTAGCTGTTCTTGGAAGTGGTAACTTATTAAAAGGGCAAGGTTAATATTAGTCAAAAGGTTAGCCAGTGGAAAGTAAAACTTATGCTTTATAAAGGTAAATAGTCTATATAGATATAAAGGTGTTAGGCATATAACCTTTATGTAGTTTTAATTTAAAGGTTGCTGTCTGTGATGAGGCAGTGTCTATATTTATTTATATATACCAATCATTTTACTTTTTACTAAGTGCTGACCTTTGGGTTTTAGAAAGCAGGCACCCAGGGGGCCCACTGCGTTTTATTTTTTCCTATAAAGATAAGTTTTTCTACTTAACATGTCTTTCATCTATCCAGACTTTTCTAACCACATTATCATCATATGCGCCTGTATAAGGTAGTGGAGGGTCAAGTCATTCTAAGTTTTGCGTACTACTCTTTCCTCTAGGTGCCCACCAAATTTTACCATTCATATTATAGCCTATATGGGGACCTGCTCTAACAGTTGGCCAGGGTTTGTAATACTGTTTCAAAGCTTTAAACTTGTGGCTACTCTGGTGTTGTTTGTCTGGCTTAACTGTGTTTGCTTCAGTTTGTACCTCAGTTTCTGTCATTTCTCGATACCATAGTTTTAACATAAAGTAGAACAGTTAAAAGTACACTTTGTCACAGTAGGTTTTGGAGTAATTGGTTGGGTCATTGTGACCCGTTGGGTTGCTATTTGCATTTCCTGAGGCATGGCCAACGGTGAAGCATTAACTACTTTATTATTGAACAATATAATGGAAGCAAACAGGCGACCATGAGTTACAGGACATTCATGTAGAACTTTCCTCTAGACTTTCCGCGGGGCTTTGCCACGCACACGGATCCTTCTGGGGCTTTGCCTTCCAGAAGGGTGTCTTCATTTGGTTCCCATGCTGAGTCCTGAATTTCATGACCTCTGCCATTAACCTGCCTTTCTTTCCAATTTTTTAAACTCTAGTCTATGCAAGGAAAACTTTCTAAAGAGAAATTAACCACTCAGAAAATGATGGAAGAGTTGGAAAAGAAGGAAAGAAGCCTCCAGAGATTAACAAAGGCATTGCTTGAAGTGAGTAGAAGAAATTCAGACTGCTTTGAAAAGATAATTCATTACTTCTTTAAGTTTAAGCAAATGTTAATTTTTTTTACCTATTAATAGAACGTTTTGAAATTGAAGACTTGATTTTGATGTGCCACTAATTGAAGCCATTAAGTTTCATACCAAAATTATAATCAAAAGGCAAACGTTTATTTTTCTTATGTCTTGGAATATAATTTCACAGGCTTAGCTACAGCACAGTCAAGTGTTATACAGTATAAAGATTAGGTTCCAACGTGATCAAATAAGACATAAAGTGAATAAAAACAAAATTGCCCTTGGAAGTCCTTGAGGAAGGTGCAGTGTTGGTGCTTCTTTGTTGGAGCAGATCACCCTTTCTCATTTAAGTATGAGAACAAGTACTTGGCTTGTGTTTAAGGACATGGTAAGAAAAACACATCGTGTTAGGTTTTTTAAGCTGTCATCATGCCATGTTCCCCCTGAATACTCAAGAATGCGTCTCTAAAGATTAAAAACATTTTCCTGTATTATTGCGTCCAACAGAAATAATAATTCCTTGACATTTGACAATGTCCAGTGTTTCCTCATCAGATTTCTTTATAGTGACTGTTGAAACCAGCATTCAGTCAAGGACAATCTTTTGTTATTGTGTCTTATAAATCTAAGGTCCCTTTTTCCACCATGTTACTGACTTAGTGAAGAGCCTGATAGGTTGTCACACCTTCCAGATTTGATGCTTTCTCATGGTGTCATTTATCTTGTTCTTTATCCTTTGTGTTTCTGGTGAACTAGAAATTGGAACCAAAGACATTTTTAGATTCAGGTCAAACTTTTTTTGTCATGAATACTTTATAGATGTTATCATCAGATTATACATTGTTTATGTCACTGTGTCACAAAAATATTGTATTTGCTGGATTAAAGTGCCGACAGCCTTATTCTTTCCATTTTAAAGTTACAGCCCCTGCAAACAGCACAGTAAGCTGTGGGGTGATCCTTAGGCAGCTGTGTGAGTATGCAATTTGCCAGCACCCTTGCCCTGGATGGTTTTAGCATCCACCAGTGTTCATGCCTGAATAATCAGATGACTAAAAAATGGTGATTTTTACAAATGACATCATTCCTATTCCTTTTATTAACTGGCACTCATCTATAAAATTATTTTTCCCTCATCATCACAGGCAGGCTATTTGGTTATTCTGAAATACAGTTGCGTTTAGAAAGCTGATTTAATCGGCAGTCTTCGAGATGAGAGGGTAGCAGCTGTGGGACTCAGGTGAAGGCAGCGTTTCCTCAGTGGTAAATTGGGTTAATGTTGATGCTTCAGATTCAAATTTAACAGTTCAGAGTTACTGGGCTTTGTTCCCCCGCATCTTTGATTTTGTATATGTGTTTCTTTGTCTTTTACACTGAAATATTTGCTTCTTATCAACATTAGCATAATAACATATATGCCTTTTCTTCGATGCACAAAAAATAGTTTCAAAGTAACTAAATCACTATTGCTACTAACAGTGAAACTACAGAATGAGGTTTAGCATTTCTTTGTAGTCCTTTTTGTATAAAAAATACATACACAGCCAAGATGCTTATTATGTGAGAGAACCCTAGAAACTGAGACTGTTTGGATTTGCTTTCCCCCTTGGGTTTACCCTAAAAGCATCAGACAGCTCAAATTTCTTTATAGTGGCTTCTTTATAGGCACCATTTCCATTATTTAAGTTGTTATTTTTCTGTGTGTGTTTTTTCCATTGTGTGTATGCAGTTGAATTTGGTTAACATGCGTATAATATGACTCCACTGTTTTGTTTATGGACTTGGGGGGAAATGTTAACCTTATGGTTTTTGAGTACCTTCGTTCTGGCTTAACAACCTGATTTTTGTTTCTTTATCCATTACAGAACCAAAGACAGACAGAGGACACATATTCATTGTTGGATCAGGGCCAGGAAGCAGACCAATCTAGACAGCCGACAGTTCTCTCCAAACGGCCACTATTTGATTTGACTGTGATTGATCAGCTGTTCAAGGAAATGTCCTGCTGTTTATTTGACTTGAAAGCATTGTGTAGTATTCTTAATCAGCGTGCTCAGGGCAAGGAGCCCAACCTTTCACTATTACTGGGAATCCGATGTAAGTGGCTGATGACTTGTTCTCACTTTGTGACTTAAAAAGTAGAAACCTGTCTTGATGAATCAGGGAATTCTGATGCCTTTTCCCTGTTTATTTTTGTACCTCCTTTTCTGTAATACTTAGATACATAAGTCTCTGAATCAGTCTGTGGGTTTGTGTATATCTGTTACTGCCTCGTTCCTAGAACTAACCTCATTATACTTGCAGAAGTGAGCGAGGTAATAACTGACACAGACTGCCACTGGGCAGAATGCCCAGAGGTGTCTTCCTGTGCTGCATCTGTAAGTGTGGGACTGGAGTGGTGGTTGGGTGTGAGTTCCCAGTCGCCCTTCCAAAAATCGTGATTCTGTTTGCTTTCATGTGGTCGTTTCATAGTTAAGTGGTCCAGCCATGCATGGTTCACTGGTCACTTTGTCTGGGAAGATACTCACTGGCTTCCTGGGCCGTGCAAGTTCTAGCACAGTTCGGTGTGCGTGCCAGTGCTGTCACACAAGCCAGCTTTCACACCTGCAGGCCGGTTGAGCCTGTCGTGCGCACCTGCTGGCTGTGTGCCTTCTGGTGCAACACCTCCCCCCTCTCTGCCTCACTTCTGCCTTCCGACACATGCAGCGGTGAGAGCTGCCTTGGCCTGCCCGGGTGCCCTTTCTCTCTGAGCCACTTTTGAAGGAGTGCTCTTCTCTCCACGTGGTTCCAAACCAGTGTAACATTGACACATTGGTCTCGTTAATGGAGAGGAAATCGACTTCAGTGAGGAGCTAAGAATGGAGTCAGTCAGACCTTACGATAAGATTTTTGCACCCACATTTATACAGAGTGGCTGCCTAATAGTATGGTTAATATGTGGCCAGAGAGGGACTCGTTTTGCTTTCGGTTTCATCAAAAGAGTCCATTTCCATTACGATCGCTATTTTGGCAAATCAAATAATCTTCTTGATCAAAGTATATAACTTATTAATAAAACACGCATCTGTACTCAGTGACACCAGCAGTTTTCCTTTTTAACTTCATAGACATGTGTACGCATGGATAAGTGTGGGCATGTAAAAGAATACTGTTAAATATGGTCATTCACTCATAGGGCATTTATCAGATGTCTTCTGTGGTCCCGACTCTTGAGTTAGCTGCTGGTATTGCAAGGAAACAGAATGCAGCTCTTGCCCCCATTACTGGTGATGGGTTCAGTCCTTGAAACGAAGGACAGTGGGAGCACAAGCAGGGAGCCAGCTCATTCCACATGGCAAGGGCTGGTGCTCGTGTGGACCCTAGGAGGAAAAGGAGAGCCAGGGGTGCTTTAACCAGAAATGATCTCTTAGGAACAAGAAGCAAAGCTCACACACAAAGGGGACTGGTCCTCTCTGCCACTTTGGAGCTGGTTACCCTTTTAATTGTTTTGTAATCATCTGCATTTCCACCATCCTAGATAGTGTAAACTTTTTCAGTGATAGGGCAGTATCTTGCCACCTTCACCTCCCAAAGTGTTCCCTCTCTAGTCTTCCAAGTCCAGCCCCAGAAGCCTGACCTTATGTCTGTCGTTGTGCACATCGGCTGAAGCAGCTACTTTGTCACAGAACAGTGGATTCTTCTGAATCCTTCCCTCCTGACTCCCTCTGTTCACCAGTGCTCTGCTGCCTGGGCTTCCGTGACGTCGATCTCTAGGTTCTGCTTCTGACTCTTGCGACTGCTCAGTCTTCTGGGGACTTCTCTGCCACTTAGTTACTGGTATCCTCAGACCATGTGTTCTTGTTGTGGGTTTATTTCCATTGAGTGTCTTCTCTGATACTCAGTGGAAGCCCATGGCCTTGGCTTTCACCCACACAGACATTCATCTCTTATACTGCCTAGAAAGTCTCCTCTGGGCTCCCGATCAGATTCTCATGCACGTTAGAGCCGGCTGTTTGCGGGCATCCCAGTTCAGCGTGTTCAGAACAGTCTGCTTTTCTTCCTCCCTAGACCTGCTCCTCTCAGTGCACAGCCCGCCATGCACAAGTCACAACCCAGATTTGGTCCTTCACCCTGCTTTTTCCTCCACCTGGGACCTGGGCCCCATCCCTGGCCCTCACCCCAACTGACGCCGGCTGAGCTCTGTCAGTTCTGTCTTCCCTGACTGCGTCTCCCGGCTGCTCTTGCCATTCTGCCTCCATTGCACTATTGCCTCGATGTAAATCTTCCTAGCCCATTGCCTGAAGAAGTTTCTCTGTCGCCATCTTTCTCGCCCTCTCCTCCCAGTCCACGTTGTTGCCCGTGATCCGTCTGCGCATGAACCTGGTTTCCCAACATTCCACTCCACTCCACTGCGGTGGAGACAGAGAGTGACCACCCACCTCTGTGGCCTCGTTTCTTGGCGCACTCCTTGCTCGTGATTTGTTTTCTGCCATTCTAGAGCAGGATAAGGTTGCGCGGTTTCTTTCTTTTCTTTTTTTTTTTAGAAAGCAGGATTTATTGAGAGGACAGAGAAGCTCCCACAGCGGGAGGCGACCCGAAGGAGCTGCCCCGTTGCTCCGCTTCTGTTAGCCCACTTGCTGTCTGTCTTCGCTCCCTGGTCTCGTCCGCTGCCTCGACCGACTCGGTGAACGAGTAACTGTCACCTCTCCAGCGAGGCCTGTTTGTTCCCGTGATGCCCTGCAGCCCGTGCGTGGTGTAGGTCACTTGCAGCACTCCCTGTGTCCTTTTGGTTGGGAGTTGTATGTGAAGCGTTAGGAACAGGCCACGGTGTCTGTTACTTTGCTGACCTCAGTGTCTGACATAGTCCCTGGCTGACGGCAGGTGTTCAGTGAACGTGCATTGAAGCAGCAGTCGCTGACTCTCGGGTCTCCAGTAAACCACTGGGGCCAGTGAAATTGCAAGGAAAGTCTCGTTTCACAGTCACTGGCTCTGGCTGCTTTTATGTTGAAACACACTTACAAGAGAGGAACTCAAGTCAGTAATTAAAAGCTAGCTGATTCAGGGCCCTAGGCTACCCAACCATCGGGCAGCTAGCTGTTGGCCTAATATCAGCTTTGTTTGGAATTGTGGGGTCCCAGCATACTTGCTCTCACCCTCCCTCCGTTCCTGCCCACTCTCTGTGCCTGCATCTGTATTTGCGCACATACATACTGTATGTATGTGTGCGTGTGCGTGTGTATGTGCATGTGTGTGTGTTTTATATATATATGTATTTTTTTTTTTTTTTGAGTCAGAGTCTCACTCTCTCACCCAGGCTGGAGCACAGTGGCACCAGTAGCACATCCCCAGCCACCACAGCCTCGACCTGCTGGGCTCAGGCAATCCTTCCACCTCTGCCTTCCAGGTAGCCGGAACTACAGGCACATGCTACCACGCCCGGCTTATTTTTTGATTTATTGTAGAGACGAGGTCTCACCAAGTTGCCCAGGCTGGTCTCAAATCCCTGAGCTTAGGCAGTCCTCTCACACAGTGCTGGGATGCCAGCCTTGAGCCACCATGCCCAGCTTAACATAAATTTTGAAAATTAATATTTTCATGCCAGTATGCCCACTTTGCAATCATAAAAATTTAAGATGCCACCACTCACTTCACAGATGATTTTCAGATTTGTCAAATGGAAAGACCTGAGTGCTCTGGTTGAGCTTGAGAGGCATCAGAGCATATTCTTCTTTGTGGAATATTGTTGTCCATTAAACATTGAATTTGTGTCACTGTGTGAATTCAATGCAGAATTGTAAGAGAACCAAGTAGGAAAGGCCTGTTTAATATTGAATGATGCATAATTTAAACCCAAGCCAGTGTGTAGCCTTATGTCTCCTTGATGATCAAGTGGAGGTCCTGAAATGTTTTTGATCAGAAATGTGAAATATTCTCTCCGTGCTTTATTTGTGCAGCAATGAACTGTTCAGCTGAAGAGACCGAGAATGACCACAGCCCAGAAACACTCACTAAAAAGCTGTCGGATGTGTGCCAGTTACGCAGGGACATTGACGAGTTAAGGACTACAATATCAGACCGCTACGCTCAGGACATGGGAGACAGCTGCGTGACCCAGTGATCACGTGTTGGCCCCACAGCAGTAATGACCCCTTGCTCAGTGCTGCTGTGCTAACAGTTCTTCATCGTTCTTTTTAGGAGCCATAATGGAAGGTGACAAGGGACATGTGACTGGCACATAGTTTTGTTTGGTTTGAGTTTTCTTCCTCTGTAGATTTGTCTGTTGAAAGGGAAGGGGGTGGATATGGGGAGGTTTTGAAGGGGCTTATCTAATCAGGCAAAAAAAGATCCAGTTACTTTTGAAAAATGTGACTAAGTCTATAAAGAAAAAGTCTGTATTCTCAAACTACTGATTGTAGGACCAAGCTGTGATGAGAAGTACCCTTCAGATACAGGGGTGGGGTTTCTTTTAATTCTGTAGTTTTCTGTGTTTATGTGTGTATGTATGTGTGTTGTGTGTATGTGTGTGCTTTATTCACAAAATTATAATGGTCTCTAGGGTCAAAGCAAAGCCTCTGAGAAAGATGCACACTGTTTACTCTTACATTTCTTTCGTATAGAAGCTTGTGTTATGCTTTGGGATTTTCACAGGCTGGCTGAACAAGAGTTCCAGACGCTGGCAAGTGTTCTGATGGTATACAACAGGCAAAACCATTTGTATTGTGGACAGTCACTGTGCTGAGGTGATCTTACAGGGTTGAGTTGCTTTTAGTACTGCAGATGGGTCACCTGTTTTTCCAGAATGGGTGTGAATTTCCTTAGAGGTGGGAAATTTTGATGTGATGTTCTTTTTCACTAGCATTGTAATTTGCATATTACAAGGAAGTTTAGCATAATTTGAATTAATTTTAACATTTCTTGTACTATTTACAATTTGTTATTTATATGTTATATTTATCAGTGTAAGTGAAGCCATATATAATTAATGCAAACCTTCTAAAGCCTCGAATCATTATTGTAAAAGAAGGATTAAGAGAGTGACTCTGGAACAATAGCTTATTTATCCAGCTCTCAGAGTTTACATTTTAACAGTTTTGTATCTCTTTTAAAGTTGAAACTACTTTAAGAGAAAGCCGACTTATTTATAGCTGAAGTAACACTAGCATTAAAAAAAAAAACTAAATCTAGATGATATTTTAATTCCTTTTGCCCGATAAAGTATGTTAGGAACAGACTTTTTGTAGAATACAAACTTGGCCAGTAGTTCTTCATCTGGAACACAGGGCATTACAATGAAATATAACTGATTTTTAAGTAGACATAAGTCATTCAAACTTCCAAATGAGTGTTGTCCATGATTCAGTTGGCATTTTAGAAGGACTAAATATTTTATTGCCTTCAGAGCATTCATTACATTCTTTTTTTTTTTTTTTTTTTTTTTTTTTTTGAGTTGGAGTCTCACTCTGTTGCCCAGACTGGAGTGCAGTGGCCACTCCCGGCCACTGCAGCCTCGACCTGCTGGGCTCTGGTGATCCTTCCGCCTCAGCCTTCCAGGTAGCTGTAACTACAGGTGCACGCTACCAAACCCAGCTAATTTTTTGATTTGCTGTAGAGATGAGGTCTCACCAAGTTGCCCAGGCAGGTCTTGAACCCGCGGGCTCAGGCAATCCACTCACCTCAGCCTCCCACGGCGCGGGATGACAGGCTGAGCCACCGAGCCCGGCCATTACATTCTTTTGAGTATACTTAGTTATGGCAAAGCCTCATCCTTTGTAAGTTGGTTGGATTTCTTAATGCAGCCAAGTCCCCTTTACATCAAGACTAAAGAGATGGAAGACAAAGGGTGTGATCAAGTAGGGCGATGCAGATTTGATAAAGAGCAGATGGCATGCCTGTGTTCTTGCCAGGCTCACATGCCAGTGTAAAGGCTGCTCCTCGGAAAGGTTTTCTTAAATGTTTTCAACAGTGGAAACAAGGCCTTCAAGGAGACTTCCCAAGAAGACATTCAGTTCGGAGTTTGGCTTGTGTACAGCTCTAGAGAAATTACTCTTACCTTTATCTCAGCAGTCAGTTCCAAAGCATTGTAAAGACATCACATTTTCCTTCTGCTCAGTCCCCTAGTCCTCCCTGCTCATCTTGCTTTTCCGGGTCTGGGCACTCGGAAGTCAGTGCACTATAGTGATTCTGCATCCCAAGGTCCCTAACCTGCTTAGTCACTCATGAGAACTTGGCTTTCTAACATGCCCATTTATGTTTCAGTGTTAGTGGTTTGAAGACAATCAGGATGTGGCAAATTTGTACCAAAATGTGATGCAAAGCGTTCTGTATTGGCCCATTACAGTAAAATGGATATTATCTGAAATAGATCAGTCACAAGCACAGCAAGTGTTTTTACATTCTCTTTGAGTAGAATCCCAACCCCTAGCTCCATGATTTTGGAAATACAATAGTAGAACAAATTGGCAAACATTCACTGATGCTTGTCTCGATAGGTTCTTGCTTAACTATCTCCTAGGCTTTTTAGTGTATGTATTAGGGTTTTATGGTTGCTGCTGTTGTTGTTTTAAACAATATGGTCATTTGTTTTACTCTGCTGCAGATAGGTTTTTGTTTTCTGGCTTAGTTGTGATAAAATAATTTGTTTGTTTACATAAGCTAGGTTAAATTCTGCTTTAGAAAGCAAAGTCACATATCTTGAGGTTAAAGTTTTTTTTAACTTAATAGGAAATTGACAACCTATTGCTGTTGAATTTTAGTTTCCCAAATGTGTACGCTCCATAAAAAGGGAAATTAATATGCAAAAGAAGGCTGGGCGCAGTGGCTCAAGCCTATAACTCCAGTACTTTGGGAGGCTGACATGAGAGGACTGCCTGAGTCCATGGGTTCAAGACCAGCCTGGGCAGCATGGTGCGACCTCATCTCTACAATAAATCCAAACATTAGCCGGGCGTGGTGGATTCAATTTAACTTTCGCACAAAAAAAGATGTGAAAGTTAAATTGAATCTCTTGAAATCTGGAGTTTGTAAAGGGGCCTATATATAGTAAGTAGGGAGACTTAGAAGAAATCTGCAGGAGTCGTGAAACTAGTAGTATTCTAATGTATCGGTATTTAATTTTTGATATTTATTTTTCAAAAATTACCCTTTCCCAAGACACCCTGTTGTGTTAGAACATCCTCTTCTGCATCACATTCAACGTCAAGATTTCACTGTTAGACCAAGTAAGCTGGGCAAGGAGCAACACGGTAGTGTCTCGCCTCGTGGGAACTAGGATGTCCAGGCGGTGAGGACAGCAGCATCCACCTGAAAGGAAAACCAGCCTAAATCTTAAAGTGAATCCGTTTCAAAACGTCTTTAGATAATGAAGCCTCTTTTTAGTTATGCTGTTGTGAGTTTACTGTTTGTTCTTTTAGGAAGCATCTCATGTAGTATTAATATTGATTATTGGTCTTTCGAGTTTTATGTTGGGTTTATTCTGCATCAGTCAAATTACAGCAGGGATAAAGTAACAGTAGACTCAGTGAAAAACCCAAATTACCTGTGCAGATAAAATCAGCTGTCTTTTCATTCAATGTCAGAAAAATAGGATGACATAAGTTAAACTGTTAGTAAATTTTCAGTGGCCTCTGATTTTAAAAAGCATAAGTATTGACCAGGTAAGATATGCCTGAAGTTATTTTAAAATAAGTCGGGCGTCATTTTGTATTTGAAATATAATTCAGTATTTAATGTTAACAGTATTAATTCTAGTGAGATATATTTTGGTAGTGACAGTTTGTTAAACCAAATGAGATTTTTTTCAACAACTTGTTACAAGGACAATCTCAAGAACTGGAAAGGGTCGCTAAGATGAATATTGTACATTTCTGATGTCCTATGGAGCTTATAAACTAATTCTGCCATAGCCTAAGGCTTATTAACAGGACTCTCTTAGAGGATATTTTTAAAGGAGCTATTTAATTGGGAAAATGTTATTTTAATATCAGTAGTAGTTCATTGAGTAACCTAGAAGCTGAGAAGCTGGACTGTATTTTTACATAATGTAGATCAGCTTAAGCACGCCTTTAGTTTGGATTATTGGCATTCTCTTATGTAGATCACTGTCATAGATATGTAATTACAGTAATAAGCAATTTTCGTAACCATGCTCCACTCCAACTATATCATTTGAAACTGCTAGTAGCTGTAGCTCTCAGAGCCAAAGTTAATTTTGTTTCCATTTTTGACAATTCAGTGTTCACAAAAGAGAAACTATTTCTTATTTGGTGTAAAGAGTAAAATTTCCAGCTTTGCCCCAAAATGCCATGGGTGTGGTATGTTACCATATGGTTATGTAATTTAATCATGCAGGGGAAAGATTTTGGATTTTTTCATATTTAAAAGAAATATTGAGTATAACAAGAACATAGTTTTCAATCAGTAATTCATTGCTAACACTCGAGGCTGCAAACAGAGAGAACCTTTTGTGCCTTTTTGCCTGCAGTAAGCACTCATTTCTGTTTTACACGAGCTATAAGAATGTTGATGATTATTGCACCTTGTTCTTCTGTAAATAAGTGTGATTAAGGATTTTTTTTTAAAGCTAGGAGCAGGTTATCACTACTAGGTGGATACCGTAGTAAACATGAGAGGAGTTTTCAAATATGTCTTTGGAGCTCAACCTTCCCTATATAGTGAGGGAAAACTCCTTTAGAATGTATTCATTTGTATGTATATGTATGTACATATATGTATAAATAATTATTTAAATACATAAATATGAAATTCAGCATCACACTGGTGTGATGGCAAGAAGTAGAAAGGTGCTAGGTGGTTACATTAAAAGCACAGCAGAGTGTCAAATCAGTTACTATGACTGGTTTTGTAAACTAGGTTCAGTTTTTGAACCACCCAGAATACCTCATGTGTAAATACAGTGTTCATGCTTAGTTGAAATACAGTTATTGTTAAATTAAAAAAAAAAAAGAATGTGAAGCCACTGGTTGGCTTATGCCTTGTGCTCTATCATTTTTGCCTCTTTTTTGTAAGAGGTAGTTTTTGTTTTTTAATAGGGTTTACAGCTAGAATTTTGAATGCCAAAGTTCTATTTATTAAATTAAGAAAGATGTTTTCAATGTTAAT